TGATGGTGAGGATAGTGGGGACGGTGGGGATGGTGATGGTGAAAAAGCAGATGGGGATGATGATGATGATGATGATGATGACGATGATGATGATGATGATGATGATGATGATGACGATGATGATGATCATGATGATGATGATGATGACGATGATGATGATGATTGATGACGATGATGATGCTGAACGAAGATGACTGATGATGATGATGATGATGATGATGATGATGATGGATGATGATGAAGATGATGATGAACATGATGATGATGATGATGATGATGATGATGATGGCTGATGATGATGATGATGGTGATGATGTTGATGATGATGATGAGGATGAGGATGATGATGATGATGATGAGGATGATGATGATGATGATAAAGAATGATGATGGATGATCATGATGGTGATGATGATGATGATGATGAAAGTGGCGATGGTGCTGATGATGATCATCATCATGATAATGACGATGATGATAATGATGATGATAATGAATTAGGATGACAGTGATGATGATGATGATGATGATGATGATGGCTGATGATGGCTGATGATGATGATGATGATGATGATGCAAGTGCATGGTGCTGACCACCATATATTGCTGCGAATGCCATAGCGACAATTGCGATGATGGCGAGGAGAAGGACGACAAGGATGAGGATGATGACAAAATATTTCCAGGCTACTTCTCCCTTCCGGGATTTGCCGATTTGCTTTGACGCAGCTTGTGTTGCCCTTCTTGCAGCTTCTCTTGAAACGTATACTTACCTATCGCTTTAAGCAAGAGGCCTCCAACAATACCCGAGCTGTGCACAAGAAGAGGTGACAGAAAACATACCCTCACCGCAACATACCACGAAAATCGCACAAAAGTCAAACATCTGAAGCAGAACTGCTCGGGTCGATTTCTGCCGATTCGACACCCGGGTTCTTCATCGATCTATTCCGGTTCCAAGCCTGCTGCTTCAAGAAGCTGAAAATGCGCGCGACGGTCCTGGCGGCAGATTGCTGCAGAGCAGAGCTGAGAGCTACAGACAAAAATCGCAGAGCTCCTCATGAGGTACTCGTTCATGGGTATGCCCTGCAGCGGCTGCAGTCTTCAAGAGTCCGAACAGTTGAGGCAGGGCTCCGACGTGCCTTACTGCTGGCGACGAGCTGGAGCATGGGATGAACAGTTTGCAGCAGGTGCCCCTTCATGGACCTGTCAACAGAAGAAGGGCGAACCTAAACGCACAATCACAAACACACGCAGCTTAGGCAGAAACGACGGGTCGTACCGTGGGGCAAGTTGGCCCTGATCACGCAGCGATGGTATCCAAAGCAACAAGACGGCGATGTAAACATTTCTGCATTTCAGATTTGAACTGGTGGCCATGTGATACAGTTTAGAATGGATGAAGGCCATTTTCCCACATACGGCATTACCCAGAAGCACCCACGCACCCATGACGCACTGTCTTGAAGCTCTGTTCTGATCCGCCTTCTCAGCTTGGTTTGGTGACACCAGCTCTAACGGATCCTACGTCAGCTTTCTGTCATACTCCTCTTTGGACATAGCCAAGTGGTGCAACTTGCCATGGAGATCCGCCCAAGGTTGCCACTCTAGGCACACCTGCAGAGAGTGTTTCGGACATGCAGGTGCCTTGAAAATCACAGTGCGCAACACACCACCATTCTTGAAGGATATGCTGAAGCGAGCGAGTCCACATGCTAGATTCGAAGCAACGGAAGGCGGAAACTGTTTTCATAAAACACGCTCACAGCTACCCATACATTTCTCAGAACATTTTCCACTCGCTAGGCCGCCTCATCATTTACCAGGATGCGAACCATGACCACGCCTTCAGACTGAGCCGTCTCCAGCCTTGGCTACAGTGCCACTGGGGTTGGCTCGGCCATGATTTGTTCCCAAAACCGCGCTCGACTAATTGGTTCTGAAACTTCTGACACCGAGGGCTTAGATTGCTGTACATGTGTGCACAGCTCTTCCAAGCACAGGCCTGCCTGGGGTTACCATGTCGTTTTCTTTGGCACAGCTCGACTTTCGCGTTCTGCAGCAAGCTGCACAGATGCAATTTGCACCAGTAAAACTACAAGCCGGATACCCACGAAACACAGCAGCAGCCATGACATGCAACAACAGATGAAAAAAGAAACAGGATACAGCGAGACTTTCAAAAGGAAAGCACCCTCCACAGCTTGTGCCAGTTTCAGGTCATGATATATCATGTCATATCATGTCGTGTCATCTCCTATCATTTCAGACCATGTCATGTCACACGACGGGTTGCTTCAGTAGAGTCTCACTCCTATGTTAACCCTGCCAATTTGCACAACGGGCACTGTGGCCAAAGAACTCCTCTTCAGGCCAGCCTGCCTTGAGGCCTAAATCGGCAACAGCGCTCTCGGGTGGCCTGGCCGACTGGCCACCACGCCCTGTGCCAAAAGCCCATGCTTAATCCTACCTACTACCCTGATCCTACCTTGTGCATTTGGAGGCGAGCAACACCACCTGCGAGGCATAAAGAGGCCACTGCTCCTTATAAACTCCCAAAGCGATGAGAAAGGCTGTCAGCATGTTGTCGTGGGCCATCAGCAAGGTGATCCCATGGCCAGGTGAACAAAGGATGTCGATGACCTCCTGAAAGAAGCGCAGCGCGCGGACAGGAACCACACACACACACAGAGGCACACTTGTATGTATGTATGTATGTATGTATGTATGCATGCATGCATGCATGCATGCATGTATGTATGTATGTATGTAGGTATGTATGTATGTATGTATGTATGTGCGTACGTACGTACGTGCGTACATACGTATGTACGTATGTATGTATGTGTGTATGCGTGTATGTGTGTATGTGTGTACATGTATGTGCGTATGTGTGTATGTGTATGTGTATGTATATGTATGTGTATGTGTATGTGTATATGTATATTTATATGTATATGTATATGTATATGTATATGCGTATGTATGTGTGTATATATATATATATATACACATATGGTAACCTCTCCCGCCCCCCATGAACTGCCGACCCTCGTTTTGTATCGTAAGTACCGTGTCAAACCAGCTTTTCCGGCAGGTCCGCATCCTGTATCTCTCAACGCATACCAAAACCAAACCCACATTTCAATAAAATGTGCCAAACAACTCGTTCAGGTTCGGCGTCAGCTCCTTCTACCAACACTGTGCTCTTCCAATCAGAAACAACTTTCCCCAAGGAAAACCCAAAACATGCTTCGTGAAACTATACAAAAAAAACATTTTTCTGTTTTCCCTAAGAAATATTGGTTTCGGTGTGAAAAACCGACGGTTTCCCAGGAAAACATGGTTTTGAATCGGAAAACCAACTTTTCCTAGGAAAACCACGAAGACACAAAAAAAATCGGGAACCTATCCAGCCAAAAACCAAACAGATTGCTTTTTGATTTTACCTAGGAACAAATTGTTTTTTCACACCAAACCATTTTTTTAGTTAGTTTTCCATACCAAAACATCTTTTTCCTAGGAAAAAGTTGGGTTAGCTCTCCGTTGACACCATAATTGATCCGAATAATGTCCTGGTTATTGCCCAGTGTATTATATAGTGTTAACGCGAAGCGGAATCGGATCCCAATAGTAATGACACTCGAAACTTATTCGCAACACGAATTTGTAACGTCCGCAAACAACAAATGAAGTACACACCCAGGAAAGATTCGTCTTGGAATGAAGTACCAACTTTTCCTGGGCACAAAATGGTTTGGATCGGAATACAAACTTTTTTCCTGGGAAAAAGATGGTTCTGGATAGGAAAACCAAATTCTCCTAATGAAAGGATAATTTTGGACAGGAAAACCAATTCTTCGGAAAAACCAAAAAGCAACAAAAAAAACTATACGGCCAAAGTCCAAAAAGATGGTGTTTTGGTTTTGGCCAGGACTCAGGATATCAGGGTTATCACAGCTGCCACTACGATTCGTTCAAACTGCCTAAGGTTGTAAACTAAATAACACAAAAAACGTGGTTAGATTGTGATGTTGATTGGAATCAGGAGTCAGTTAACGATCCTCGTCTTGATGTTGGTATCTAGTACAGGTTTAACCTTCGGGGTTGGCATATGTATATGCAGACGTAAATGTACGGCGGACACACAGACGGGCAAGTCCGGCAGCAAGTCCGACATGATCATATAGTGCAATCAGTAAGATAATACACCCTCGTAAAGACAGCGTTGAAGGCACTACTTACACGAATAATGGGCCTGCCATGGGTCCTATATCCTACATACATAAATAATACAATCAGGTGTATGTGTGTGTATATATACATTTATAGTATACTTTTTTGGTACGCCACAATTTTGCATTAGCGAACTTCCGTCCGTCAGCCCGCCTGCAGCAGACGCCCGGCACCCAGGCGCAAGAGCTCGCAGTCGGAGTACACAGCAGCCTGTCCGTGAAGAAAGGAAAAATGTAAGGCTTCAGTGACGAAAGGCTGACTCGGCCTGGAACGTTTGTTCATCGCCACGCCTCCCGCGAAGCTTGATAATGCTCCACCAGGTGCACAAGGTCCCAGTCGATACCTTGAATTTGTCCAACGTTTTCTTGATGAACACAAAACGGCTTGAAGTCGAGCACTTCACTCCTGAGAGCCAGGATGCTTCTGGCCGGTTCTCAGACGCAGGTCAGCTCAAGAACTTGCTAAACGTGTAAGCTAGTCTCGCAAGAGTTCAGTCAAAGCTCATAGGGTCATCTCCCATCACTGGAACCAAAGCTGTCTCCAGCTTGTCATGAAGTGATTTTAGATGTGTGGCTTTCGCCTTGGCCAAGGCAGCTGCACGGCCTTCTGCAAAGCGGCGTGAGCGGCCATCGTAGTTGGGCAGCAGTGTCTGCTCTGCTGGCGCACGCGCTTGGATTCTTGCAACAGACGGCGTCTCTGTTGCGCTTTGTGTTGAGTCTTCACGAGTAGCGCATCCGAAACCGAGTAGCACACTAGCAGCTGACTGGATTGTGCGTGGAAAGTCCTTGGAGAAGTATGGACATGAGGCTGTGGCTCTGGACGGAGCTAAGTTGGAGCTCAGAGTCAGTACTGAAAGCCCGGATCGCCATAGCGTCGCCATAGCGTCTTCGCAGCTCGGCTCCGGCTCTTTGGCACTGCTGAAATCCAAGCCTCGTGAGCTGGCCGAGGTTGCCTCGTGTTGCAGAGGCTGCGTGCACTCTCTTCAAAGCCACTCTGTTCTAAACCACAGGGAGGCTTCTATTGATTGGTCCTGCATTTTGCAGCTTGTGCAGTCACGATTCCATCTCCCACAAAATGTGCATACGCATTCTTCCCACTGCCGCTGGCTCGTTCCACGCTGACTCTGCTGATGTCAAGGAGCTCGCGAGTCGTTGGGAGCAGAGCCGCCCACTTAGGACCAAGATGTGACATGTCGAGCTTGCCTCATGTCGACTTCCAGGCCCTTCCGACTCGGCTGTACGCTTCCATGGCAACTAAGGAGCCGAACTTGTCACGAACCGGCGTGCGGTCTCCATGACGCATCAAGACAACCACCTGGCCCATGTTCAATGTGTGCGTCGACTGACTGACGACATGGAAAGCAAGTCGCTTTCCAATGTCATCCGAACACTGCCACTGCTGCTAACAACAGATCGTTGCAGTTCTTGCCTGCAGCGGATTCTTCGCAAGTGGAGGCGGCTTCAGTGTAGAATCAAAGGCAGTGATGCGGGTCTCGTCGAGCCTACATTGACAATAAACGTGGTTGGACTTTTTATGTATTGTTGTTATTGTTGCTCCTGCTGTTGTTTATGTTCTTGCTGTTTTCGTTATTATTCAAATCATGTTGCTCTTATTGCTCTTGTCGCTCTTGTTGCTGTTGTTGCTGTTGTCATAGCTGCAGTTGCATTTGTTGTTGTTGTTGTTCTTGTTGT